CAGCGCCGCCCCGGCCCCGCCGCCCCTGCCCCGCCGCCCTTCCAGGGGGCCCCGCCGCCGAGCCGGGGGGAGCGCCCCGCCAGGCCCAAAGAGCCCCGCGCCCCCGGCCCGCGGCAGATGCACCCGCAGTGAACGCTACAGGGACACCCCCGCCCCCAGCCGTACCTCCCCCCGAAACGCAGAGGGAAGGGGGGGGGTCCCCTGGAGCGCAGCGTTTCAGCCGGGAAAACCGTTCGACGCTAAAAAAATGACGCTGTGCCCTGTTTTGCTGTAAGGAATTAGGAATTATTGCTGTTACTGTTGCTCTTGGAGATTCATCTCGTTGTTATTCGAGCTCTGGCTGCAGTGAGGTTCCAGCGTAGCATCCACAACGTCCGCTAAACCCAACCCATTAGCGCTGAGGCTGCAATAAAACGAGAATTAAACCGAACCTTGTATGAACATCGTTGCATCCAGCCACAGCAACTTTAGTAATAATCATATTCAGGTGCATAAAATAGTCACGGGGAAAATCCTCTTTCGTATATTTCCAGTGAGTAAAAACTACTAAAGTTTTGGAACCAGATATTATTTTCTTTGCATATCCAGGAAAATGAAAAAGTTTTTTTTTTTTTTTTTTTTTTTTTTTTTTTTTTAATCCTCAGAACGAAATGGAGTGATGTGCTCCCTTAAAAGAAACAGAATAGAAACCCTCCAGCTATAACCAAAAAAAAAAAAAAAAAAAAAAAAAAATCAATGGGGAAAATTTCACTGTTTAGGGGACTAGGATCTCAAACTCTTTCTGTTTTAGGCAACGGAAAGAAGGAAATTCGTGATGTGATTCGCCTGTGTCACAGTCTTGGAGGTCCTGTTCGGGCCGTCGAGTGGCACAGCTGAGATTTCTGATCGTAATCTGAAACGGAAATAGCTGCCATTTAGGAGACGTAACCGTTTCCACTATCGCATTTTACCTACCCGTAAAATGCAAATTTATCGCAAATTTCAATAGCTGTTTCGTCAGAGACTGTGAGGAATGGGCTGATTAATAAATATACCCTAGAGATAAATTATCCCTTCGAATAAGGTTATCAGCGTTAAAATTGTAAAAGTACTTTCCAGACGTGAAAAATTAGGTATGTGACAAAAAGATAATTAATTAAAGGAAAAAATAAAACAGAAACGAAACCGCCGTAGGAGCACTAACTCTTTCCACATTGGAAGAGATGGCAACTTGTCTGAGAAAAATTCGTCACTACGAAAAAAATTGCCCTGCAGTTGCTGCCGCTCTGAATTGATAGGAGAGCAGAAAATGCTTAATGCCTGTCACCGACGAACAGTGCTGTGGAGTTAGTTTATCTTTACATTAAATCTGGGACATATTAACTGTTCCGTGGTCTAAAGTCAGTCTGCTCTGCCTTTCCAGCCGTGATTGAATCTGAAGGAAATCAGATGTGCGAGAGTGATCGAAACGCGCTAAGATAGAGGATCTTGCAGGAGTTTAAGCGCCGTCGCGGTGGAGATGAGATCGATAGAGAGGAAGGAAGGAAGGAAATGGATGCTATCTGTCCGAGGGCGCTCCCGCTGCCTCCTCTCCAGCCCGCCCATCTCCGACGGTACCTTCCGCCGCCCCGCTCCGCGCTCCCGCCGCCCGCGGCCGCCGGGCCACACACGCCACCGCCACCGGTGCGACGGCCCCGGCGAGGCCCGCGGCAGCAGGTACCGACCTCCGCCGCCGCGGCCCGGGAGGGGCGCGGAGGAGCGCGGGAGGAGGAGGAGGGCGAGCTCGGTGGCGGCGCGGCCCGGGTGAGAGCGACGGGGGGCGCGGGGGCTTTAGGGCGAGGCTGAGCTACTGCGGAAACTCGGCGCGGGCGCGGAGTGCGGGGCCGGCCCCGAGCGGCCGCCGGGACCTGCCGGCCTAGGGGCGAGCTGCTCCGCTCCTCCGCCGGGCTCTCCGCGGAGCAGCGCCGGCTGCAGCGCGCACGCAGGGACGGGGACGAAGCGGCGGTGGTGCCGCGGAGGTCCCGTAGAAGCCTCTGGGCACGGGGTTGTTGATCCTGCCCGTTTTTTTACTCTTTTCCCTCCCTCTAGAGCCAGCCGCCGCGAGTTCCCGCCGAGGAGACCCTGACCCCTTGCTCCGCACCGCTCCGCACCCCTCCGCGCCGCACAGCGGGGTGCGCGCAGCCTGCCCGCTCTACGGCGGATGGACAGATCGCCCGGATCGTTTTTATTTTTAGACGAATGCCCCTTGTTGTTGATTTTTTTTTACTCCCCCCTAAATTTCTGTAGGTTGCTATGTGGCATGTTGTTTTCATTTCTTGACTTTTTGAAATAACTATTTGGATTTAAATTTATCGAACAACCTGTTATCCATATGTCTGTCCGATTAATTTTTTATGGGATGATGAAAGAGAGAAGAATCTATATATATATATAGTGATCTGCTAATGGAATAATATATATATCCAAAACACCTTTCTGGGGTTACTTTTATTTCCGGACTTTAAAATGCAGTCTGAGTTTTTAGGCAATTGGTGAGGCAATGCTTATTTGATGTAGGAGAGTCACATATTTAGACTTCAGTGGAAAAAAAATGTATTGTTTTCTACCAGAAAGATATTCTCCTGTCCTCTCCTCAAAATCTTGAGGGGCAGTTACAGGAAGGTTATGGCCATGATCTGCCATTCACAGTGGGATTTTTGCAAATCTTTTCGAACATTGAAGCCGGACACAACCAGAAAGTAAAATATCCACAGGGTCCTTTTCCCTTCAAAGACATGATTTTCTGTAAGTACCCAGCAGGGATCCATAGAAGCGGTCACTAAGGAAAACAGATTTATATCATTAGCCTCTTCTTCCCTCCGCCCCCAAGTGAGCCTAATCGCTTCACCCTAAGGAGACCTGGCGTGTAAAACTGACAGCAAGGAGCTGACGGCGGCTAGTTAGTCAAACATTATCAACCCCAGAAAAAATTATAGGCGCAAGTTAGAAAGTAGCCTGTAAACCCTTTTCTGTACATCCCAAGTGCACCTTCACCCTCGTCCCTCTCCCTTGCCCTTGCTTGGGGCTAAGCGTGTGTTTGAGGACCAATTAGCACTTCCAGCTCTTCTATAGTGGGGTGAACAGCAAGCCTAGAGCGACTGTCCCAGCAATACAGATGACCCTCAAAAGGGTTGAGAGGAGGTTAAGAATGGCTTAAATTTAAAAGAGGCAGAAAAGTCCCCTGGAGCCCCCACGTCCCTCTCCACCGGGGATCCTCCGGCCGGGCTGCTTTCCCCGCTGCCAGGTGGACTGCAGCCCGAAGAAAGAGGTGGCACTAGGGAGCCGGCAGGAACAGTCGTCCGGAGCTGCGGCGGGGCTCTTTATTTGTTTCCGATGAGAACGGCCCTGCTCCCGCTTGTGTGTGTCACCTTCCTCGGGCGCAAAACGAGCGCTGCTCACAGCGCGGGGCGCAGGCGATCCCGGCTGATCCCACTCCGGGCCCAGGCTCGCGGTGCCCCGGCGGCCGTGAGCCACACCCTGATATTCGTGCCGGGGTCTGTCCCGAGCACACCGCCTCGCACGCCCGCCCGACGGGCTTTAGCTTTGCGGCCGAGCCGGAACGAGAGGGAGCCGGGTCGGTTTCCCAACACTTGAGACTCCCCCGGTTCAAACTACATAACTCGACTAACGGGTCCCAAAACGAGCGGATGACGAGGCCGCTCTCTATCCAGCCTCCAGGACCACAGAGCATGCAGCATCCCGTTCGGTGCTCCTAGCTCAGGAACCGAGAAAAGGGAACAAGGCTGGGGAAGAGAGGGGAAGCCCCCCGCGCTTTCATCGCGCACAGAGCTCTTTGTCGCCTGGAGTAACCCAGCTTTAGCCTGAACCACGGGGAGCCTCGTTGCGGTTGTCGCCGGTCGCGCCGAAGCCAAGCCCAACCTGCCAGGAGCGTGGCCACGGCGGCCCTCAAACAGCCGCCGCGAGTGAGGTTTGGGGAGGGCTCATAGATACGGCGTGGCAAGTTTTGTTCCCGCTTCAGCACCGCGGGACGGCCGCGCACCGAAGGAGGCGAACGGGTCCGGGCCAGCCCGCCGTAGCCGCCGACGGGGCGCGCGGTCCGCCGGCCGGCGGGGGTCATCCCCCGCGCGGTGGGCACCGGCCTTTCCCCGGCACAGCCGTCCTCACCGGGCGCTATCCCCCGCAGCCTCAGGTCTCGTTTCAAAACCTGGGGGGAAAAAATAGTCGCTCCCCTGCTGCTGTGTATAAATAAGACCAGCGTACGGAAATAAACGCTCAGCCAACCGACCGGCTTTCCGGACGGATGAAAATGCTGAGGAACGACATTAAAGCATTGAAAACACAGTTTAAAGGCATCCGTGTTAAAATTATAAGCATTCTGGTGATTGCGTTTTATAGCGCTTCTATTGCTGTCTTAATTCCTAATTGCACAGCCACGAGTATGAATAGTTTTGAAGGAAATCTCCAGCCTTTAATACGCCGCTCCCACTTATATTTATTGCTCGTTTCAGACAAACGATTTTAAAAAATAGCCTTTTCATTACTTCAGTCACAAAATAAGCATTTACAAACGCTAAATGAGGGTTGAAGAAACCTCTGGCTTTACATTTTTATTGCTTTCTTATAAATTTAACTCATATTTTCATTATTGTCTCAGGAAAAAAAAATGAAAACGTGCATGGAATAAAATTAAATCAGGTAGCTTTAAATCACTGTAGTTTGGGATAGAGTCACTAATTGGAAATATTTATGTTTGCGAAGCTGGGATTTCAGCAGTAAAAAGATACGGTATATCCCCTTCTTATCATAATGTGGGTCTACGAGAACATTTATATCATAGCACTGTAAGAAATGATGTGTAGTTAAACAACATATTTTAAGCAGGGTTTGTGTCTTTTTATGGCAACCCTCGATCTTTAGTCAGGGCTAGTTCTCATGTTACATGAAATGTACTTTAAGAAGTACTACCTGCTCCAGCTGTCCAGGAAAAACTGAATTATGGAACTAGGAAACATATGGCAGTTGCATATTGCACGAGTAAGGTACATATGAAAGTTATAAATTTCTTTTTTAAGTAACCATTGTAAACGCATTTTTATAGGTTTCACAGTATGTATTACATCTGTAATTTTAATTTTTGCAATATACCTTTTTAAAGATATCTATGTTTTCTGTACTATGGGGGAGGAAATGCAAAGCGACGTTTACACGTTAAAAAAAAAATGCTGCATGCAAAACAAACAAGACAGGTAAATAAACGGGGAAGCGGAGCTTCCTCACAATGGAAAGGACACTATGCCATCTATTGGCAAAGCAGTTATTTACAAAGCCAAGGGTACCCTAGCGAGTATTTTCTGTTCTTTCAATGTTGTGGAATGTCCCAGTTGTAGCTTTCGTGTATTGTAACAAATATATAAAGACATGTCTACGGAGGTCAAGGGAATTTAAAAAAAAAAAAAATTAAAAATGAGAAGAAGGAAAAAAGAAAAAAAAAAGGAAGAAAGCAAGACAGTTCGTGAATTTATACCTCACAAATTAGGTCATTAACTCACAAGGGATTTTGCAGCTAATTTCGAACTCCCTTCTTGGAGCGCCCGAGTAGGAGAGATTTAACTTTTTCGATTGTTTTATTACTGAACCGTGTCAAAGAAGACTTTTTGTTTGTTTGTTTGTTTGTTTTTTTCTTGTCTTGTTTTTCCCCCTGTGTTTTCAATGCAAGGTTACCTAAGGACTTTATGGCCCCGAAACCGCCCGGCAGGCTCTTCGGAAGCTGACCTTACGGTCTCTGCTCAGTCCGGGCACTATGCGGGTGTGACTGCAGGATCGGGCCTCCTTTTCCGCGCCTCGCAGGGCTCCCCCCAAAGGCGAGCCTGACCTGCGAGGGGCTCTAAGGCTCTGCCGGGCACGGGCGGGAGCAGCGGCGGGGCAGGAGGTGCGCGGAGCAGCCCCCGCCCTGCGGATCCCGCGGGCAGCGCTTGTGCTCGGCGACGGAAAAGCTTATCCCGCAGGAGAGAGCTGCTAGTGCTTTTCCTGTTTCCAGGAAGGCGAGGGAGAAGATATTTTCTCCATCAGATATAAATAAACCGAAATAATCGGACAGATGTGAAGGGAAGAGTCAATTTTTCCTGTTCCAAGCGTAGACCAATTTCTGAACGAAAGTCCCTGTCTCTCCTTCTTGAACTGGCTTTCTTCCTTTTTCCCTCACTTGCTAAGGACTCGACTTTTTCCCTGCCATGACTAGCCCACTACTGTTCGGTGGGAAACGCGAGAGCCCTTTGTTTTTACTTTCAGCGTTGTGATCTCTCTTTCCCTGAGCCGCAGAACGCAGTTTGGCCCTTCTCTCCTAGATGTGTGAGTCGGGGGGCGGGCGGGGAGAGAGAAATTCCTGGGAGCACCTGTATTTCTCAGCTCGAAAGGTTAATCCTTCTCCACACAGCAAAAGAAAAAAAAAAATCCCTAAAATAAAAAAAAAAAAAAAAAAAAAAAAAAAAAAAAAAAAAAAAAAAAAGACACAATCCCCTCCGTCTAAATCCAGACCCCAGAGGACAGGGAAATATAAAATCCAGACCCTGCACTCATATCCTTTTACTGCTCTTCTCGGTGTGAACGTGTGAGTAGATGGTGTTTTACAAAGTTGTCTGAATTTCATGAAAGGCCGTCCCTGTGTTTATATGCGAGGGGAATTGCACTGTCTCGCTGAGTGAAGCGCACCTTCGCCGATTGCTCTTTACCCGAGCAGAGGGACTCGGCGCTGGGAGCCCGAAGGCTTCGCCTCGCAGCCTCACGCCCGGATTTTCGGATCAGCCCCGCGCGTCTCTGGCTGCCGAGGGAGCGCAGACACGCTCATTCTGGGGGCAGCACTCGCTTTCTGCCTTTTTTCCCCCTCCCTTGCAAACGTCCCTGAAGCCCCGGCGAGCCTTGGGCTGGCGGCGGCCCACGTCTGGGGACGGTGATGGGATGGGGACACCACGCACTCCGGGACCCTCCGCCGGTCCCCGCAGTCCCGTGTCCGTACTGGAACATCACCACGGTCTGCAGCCGCCCTCCCTCCGTTCCTCCTGCTCGCTTTTTGGGGTCAGTCTGCCTGGGAACGGGGTCGGCGCTCCCCGGCGCCCGGCCTGGATGGGGACACCAAAGAAGCGGCGAACGAGAGCGTTTTTGGGGAGCCGGCGGAGAAAGATGCAGGCGGGTAGGCTGTAGGGTTAGAAAGGCATCTATGAAGGAAAAAACTGAGCTCCATATGGGCAGCGATTTTTGAAGAAAGCATCAAACACGCTTCTCTGCCGTGCAGCCCACGCACGCCGGCTCCCCACGCCGCGCCGCCCGCTGCAGCGAGGTGCCGGCCGAGCCCCTGAGCATGGCCCGATTCAGCCTGTCACCTGAATG